AAACAAAGAGAAACATTTTGATAATGTGTCTTTTTTTTTCCTGTTAATAAACCACAAACTTGTTGAGAAACTATCAAAAAATGAAAGAAAAAAATGCTCATATGAAATATGTTTGTACTGACTGAAAGAACTACAACCATAATGCATGCTGAAATTATTTGGAGCTGTGATCTCAGTTTACTTTTGTTGTTTTTCAGATTAGGCATGATAAAATATTACTGTAGAAAGGGGCATTTCCGTGCACTTACAACAAGCTGATTGTTAATGTTCCATGGTAGTTGTACAAATAACTTCCCTTTGAAAAATGCAGTATTTCTTATTGAAACACTCATTAGTGAACTAAAAGTGTTCAGTTAGTTCAATATTTACTATTGTTTTATCTTGCTTCCTAGGTACTGTTACAACTGCAATAAGTCATTGTACACCTGTTGTATCAGGAATCAGGATTTCTTTTTTTTAAGGTATTTTACACAACTTCATCTACACTATAAACTTCTAATGGCAAGCATTTAAATAATCTTACAGCCAAACCGTGCACCGCAAATATGCTATTCAGCCATTGTTCTTTTTGTCCACTGTCGTCTATTTCTGTGACAGTTTGTTGTTCACTCCAACATTACCACATTATTTGGGATTTCAAGGCTACTGATGAATCAACACAGTCCTTTCTTCCACAGACATCTTGTCTACTTCTGTATTTTCAGAACAAACTTCTCGTCCCAGTGTACTCTTGCAGGATCAATCCTATTTGAATTAAAATTACAACAACGGTGTTTTGGGGATCAGCTAACATTTATCTCTAAACCTTCCTTGTTGACATTCTGCAGCATCCAGAGTATTGGCTAGGCTGGAAGACACCGAAAGATATTCAGTAAAAAAGATGGCTAAATTCTTTTTGTAATTATCTGTAAACTTGCATCCTAAAATTTGTTTGAGAATTTATATGGCGTGAAGATATTTAATTACCTAAGAACACTGATAGAATAATGGAATGGGTCCCAGAGCTATAAAAACATGATTTATCTTAGTTGGAATTTACCCACGTGGGCAGGCCTAAAAGCTAATATGAAGGCTCTACTAGTTAAGGCTTTTTGGCTTTATTTTTAAAAGACATTGATGTTATCAGAAAGCTTTCTGATAAAAAAGTGTCATTTTTCTTCATGAGAGTGCATTAGGAGATGTATCGTAATGCTTCCTATATACATGACATACCATGCAGGATATACATCAAATACACATGGAATATGTGCATATCGATACATACATATACACATCAAAAACACTGGATCAGAAATAATTGCATGCCTGCAAAATAAAATATGCATATAAATCAAAAGGCTCAGTGCATTAGATGCCATTACAATAAATGATTAACACAGTTATTTAATAGTTTGAGGAGCATATGTTTCAGTACAGTATTTGCTAGTATTCTACTGACCTGATAATTTACAGTAAGAGAAAATACCCGCTAAAAACTGAAACTTGCTGATGATACACTTTTTACTGCACACAAATACTGGTCTTTCTCTCTACCTGTCAACAGAGATTGAAGAGTAGATGATGGACTATCATGCTACAGTATATACACCAAAATACAACAATATCACATATTAGAATTAAATTGCCATTAAAAGGAGTACATAACGTCATGCATTACTCTTTTATCTTATCATTCACTTATTCAGAAGCTTGGTTAATTTGCAATTAACTTCCCACTTTTTCTGCAAATCAGAGTAACTTACTTATTGTACACCGAGCTTCTACAATTCTTTCAAACCGTAACAGAGAGCAGAAGCACAGGCTGTTCTCTGACCCAGAGGAGCGCTCCTTCTGAGGAACTCTGCCAAGGTCCATTACCTGACATTGCTCTCCTCTCTTTCACCCTGTTGGAAAATTGCAGTAGATCTGCTGAAGCTGGTAGGTTACGTAAGTTTTAATGGGATTTAAAAGAGGCAGAATGGCCCCAGAGTTTTTACTTGCATCCGACTCCTACCCATGGTTACTCATACAAAAAATGGCTTGGTCCCCACCTTTTGGCAAACAGTTATTGATATAGAAACTGCCTTGATATTAGCAATCTGCAACAACTTCTTTATGCCACATGGTACTTCTTGACTAGTTATATCAGGTAAATAATGCAAAAAGGCAGTTGCTAAGCCCACTTTGGGACAGACTACATACAACCCAGGAAACCTACTGACTCCATCAGGTCATCTGTCTTTTAAAATCTCTTTATTCTCCTTTTCATATGGACTAAAAAGAATGCACTACAGCAATACACTTGCATAACAGTTACACCCCTGAAGCGACTTGTACTTTCATTGTTAAAATGCAGCTTAAGGAATAATTTAGTATGATTTTGCAGAATTCCAGTCCTGTCTCCTATTTCCATATGTCACATGCAAAATCATTAATTTATTCTGAATTTGGGAAATACACATTCTTTTGGTGTTTTAGGTGATTTAAATGCTGTTTTGGTAGTGAATGACTGTTGATGACTGTGTAAAATGCATCTGTACTGTACATGAAATGTAATTATTTCTGTGTATCATACAAAGAAACCGAGGTTGTTGTTTTGACAATTTTGTTTGACAGTCATATATCGTATTTCAGAAGGCAGCATAATACATGCATTATGCTGAATAAATAGACACTTGAGGAATATTTAAATAAAACATCTGCATGCTTGAATGGGTCAACCTGGTTTTGCAATAACTTATTGATGGAATTTTTTTTTCCTAATAAGATTGAAGGAACACTAAATTTCAGGGCAACAAATGTCCCCAGCACTAATTCCAGGCAAGTCGTGAGCGCATCTATACCATACCAGCACGACCGAGACCAGGATGCCGCAGCTCTGTAACACAGAGCTGCCCTCCTCCTGTGTGAGTGGCCATCACCTATCCCAGACCAGCCTGCAGCAGCAGAAAATTGGGGCATTAAATGGTTTCCAGCAATCTGAACTCCACCTCTCTATCTGTACTTTTAAAAAAGTATCCGCTATGTTTTCAATCCATCCAGACACTGACCAGTCTGCTGAACTTCCCAGGCTACAGAGCCACCCCAAACCTGATATCAAACTCCTTTTGTAGTGCAACAGCAGGTAACAACACACTGTGTGTCCCTTACAAAGGGCGACTGGCGGCGCAGATGATGCCGATCTATCAGCTGTGTATGGGGGGCGCGCCTCTGCAAGGAGTGTACTGGTCTGGGGGGGGGGGGGAAGAGGTAAAAGTAATACCTGCCTGTGAACCATCCCTGAGCAGTTTTAAGGAGAATGACTGTCCTCCCATAAAATGGCTACCGGAGACAAACTGGAAGAGTATGCTTTACATGTTAAGGTTTTGGATATACTAGCTGTGGAAACACACTTTTCTGCCGAGACAAGGCTTTTGCAGCCAAGAACACGATGCAACCTCAGCTGCTCCAGGGAGAAGGGTGGCTTTCAGGGAGGAAACTGGTCTGGAGGAGGATAGATTAGTGAAGTCACAGGATCATAAAAGTTTTGGGCAGGGAAGGTGCTTAGGAGGTCACATACTCTCTTTCCTGCATCTGGGGCTCACCAGGACTTTACTTTCCCACTGACTATGGAAACATCTGAAGATTTTCAGGTGTTCTGGATTAGCAGTCACCTGACAGGATAGGTAAACGTGCAGCTGAAAGAGCAGTCAGGACTGAACAACCTATTTAGACTGACAAACACTGCAAGATATACCTAATTACCTGGACAGCTTAGTTTCTTACCTACTTGCATTACCTATTTATCTACTTTTAAGCTACCCATTTTCACAGTATCTAAGTACAAGAAACAACTGGAGATGGGGGAGCGCTGAATAAAAAGCAAGTAGATGCATAAAAATTCTGAAGTATTTGGGACATCCCAATATTTTTAATGAAATGTAGTCAATCATACACGAGTTTTAAAGTTTTAGATACAATCTCACTTCAATAATAGCAATTCATATGAATTAAATATAATGCTTTTGTGGTAAAAACTGTTTGAAAATCGCTGCTTCCATCGTATTTAACTATATAGTCACTGTGACCAACAGCCTCTCTTTTTACTATTTATTCTTTAGAATTTCCCTTATATTTACGGGTTGCTTTTACAAAATGAACTGTTATAAAGAATAGAAAACATAGTTATGTTTCCTTCAGAAAGCCTTATCATATAACCTGCTGGCAGATGAATCAATACCTTGTCCAAAGACCAGGAGAAGTGAATTTTGCCTCCTAAAAGCATCCCCATACTCCCAAGCCATGACTGTGCGGCACAAACCTTACTCAGCCCCACAGCTACAGGCAGAGCCCCACGGGCTCGGGGTGATTCACTGGGCCGAACGGAAACACCTGATGCGGGCAGGGGGTGACCCCTTTTCTAACAGAGTTGCTCTCCGCGACGATCTGTGAAAAACGTTAAGGAGCAGCTCCATAGCTGTTTGTTGCAACAAGAAAGACTTGGCTCATCACAGTTTGTGCTGCAGAGAAGAATGAACACACCACCCTTCTCCTCCAGGTACTCCTGCAAAACTGAGGGAAAAAGGAAATAATAGGATGAAGTAGTTTTCACTGCTGCAAGTATCTCTAAATGTTCCCCTCTTGCCTCTCCCCTACATATATCCTAAAGCTCTACAGGAAAAGAACAGACTCACAGCAGCTTAGTCAATCAATTTTAAGGCCCTTTGAACAAGCCCTAAAAAAACAGAGACACCTCATCGCCTGAGCACAGTGAAAGAAAAAAGTTTGAAAGCATTCCAGTTTACAGCTGAGACCTGTTTTGGCAAACGTGGTTAGACACGCAAAACAGGACTTTCCCAGAATACTTATCAGTAGTCCTTACTAGGGAAGGGAATACTTTTATCATTCCTGACACGTGGGTCTTTCCCCTGATGAAACTAGCTCTATTCTGAACACA